TATCAATGACGAAGTTGAAGAGGAAAGGTGAAAGAGGACAGCCCTGTCGGACACCACTGGATGTGGTGAACTCAGGAGAGAGCTTCCCGTAGACCTTTACACGGCTGCGGGAGTTGGCGTATAGCACCTTAATGATGGTCAAGAATTTATGGGGGACACATTTGCTCCACAGACACTGCCATAATGCATGGCGTTCCACAGAATCAAAGGCAGCTTTCAGATCAAGAAACACAACCAAAGCAACAAACTCAACCGTCCGATGCGCCTGATCACAAAGAAACCAGTGGATTAGTATTCAAACGACTTGATAGTAATGACCGCACGATGGCTTAACTTGCGCCCGAGACCATAGATTGCAGTCATGTTACACCCATCGAGGAACAACAAAACTATTCGAATATTATACCCGAGTAATCGTTGCTGGCAACTAGTGCTCATGATCAACTGGATGGTGGGGTGACGTCCGTTTGCCCAAATTGAATTACCAGACTCGGTATCGGTTAATGTACCCTCCTAAAGAACAGCATTGCCCAAGTGATTGTAAGAAATGATCCCTTTCTGGGACCTGGTCGCGTTCACTCGTTTGATACGACTGCCGGTGACACCCTTTGACGAATGGGTGGTCGTCCGATCCTTTGAGGAGCTTCGATGGGCGAGTCAAGAGATCTGCTGTGAGACGTTCGTTCAAGAGCTGAACAACTGTACTGGTTATACGAAGCATAAAATTCAAGTCTCGAGGATATCGATCACAAGGGGAAAACCAGTACTGTCGTGTAAACTACGCCGTTAAACGGTAGTGGCGTCCTATCGCATCCGACTGCGACTCAACGGCAGTGCTGACCGTCCCCTTGTAGCTGAACGACACGGTGAGCCAAACGGATGGTCGCTTCTCTGCTTTCCAACACAGGCTGATCCAGCTTGTACAAAGAAATATCAATTGAAAAACGCGATGCCTTCTCCACCGGCAAATGCGTTTGAGGGGTCACGCAAGGCGGATACTGAGCGGAATAGCAGTGTAACGCCATGTATTTCGTCACGGTCAGCATTCCCTGGACTCCAACAACTCACGAATATATGAACTGACTCACACCACATAGTGTCTTATTCTAGGTTCACTCATTTCAATAGATTTCGTAGGACTTACCTCGACCCAGCTGATGGTTTGCTATTTCATCGGTGACACAAGCGGAAACACTATGTTGTCCAGCACCTCAGATGGACTAAATGGATTTGGAAGTGAATTTCGTGTGGCATTTATTCTTTTGGATTGTTTTCTCCGCAAAGGTGGATGTGGTCATGCAGTACTAAATGACTGATCTGATATACAGACAAACGCGGACAGCCGCCACCATTTTGCTGCTGACCGCAATGTCTTCGGTCGCCGCAGCAAGCATCTTCCTTTCGGTGCCTTAAGAAAATAAATGCGGTTGCCAGGGATTGTCGAAGTTCTGGAAATAATTTCAATACTGCTCACCAGTGTCTCACAATCAAATTATATTTTTCACCCGTGTACCATGTTCATTATGTGTAATCAAGACATGCCAAGACTCTATAGCCATGCGCCGTTTCTCATTAAATTTAGGTGCATAGACCTTAAAAGTGTGCCTGATGATAATCATTGTGGGTTGCACGGCAATCGCTAACCGCCAGCGTTCGCGACCTTGCCTTGCCATATGGCCCCTTTACAGATTACCTAGGCCAGTAGGAGAAATGTCTCTCTGGTACAGTGATTTTCAGCCGAAAGGGAATTCAATTTGTGGGGTTTTAAGGGTGCATGAAGGCCGCTGATTTAGTAACCTCAATTTCTGCAATATTCGGAGAATCCATTCGGTCTTGTGCTTAGTGCATGCGGCGCGAGTGGGTGTAATGCTATTTTCTTGCTGAAGCGGGTCTTTTGAATCGTACAAAACCAAAACGGGTGTCTCAGATTAACATGCTGGAGCGGGTGCACGGGGTCAAACAGGTTAAGACCCATAGAGCTAGTATCACTAAGCGATAAATGGGGGAGAAGCATACTTGGTGATTTAGCTCAATTATTTTCGTTCTTGGTGAATTCAGTCATCCCGCAGCCTCATCAGTTAATGACGAATATGCCTTAAGTAGGAGGACATTAATCAATTGAGCCACGATTGCGTCAAACTCCCTAAAGTCACTAAACCATGGTAGCGGGCCTTTAAGTCAATGAAAGTGGGACAAAATGCGTTTAAAACGTAGTTATAATAGACTGTTGGGCGATATAAACAGACGGGATAGTTTGACTGATTGGCAAACCGTGACACACACCTAGTCAGCGAGTCAGAGGCCAACAGGGAGGAAACACCTGAACACAACGGAGATAAGAATAAGGGAAAATGGACAAAAGCGAATACGAGTGCGAGGTACAACGTCAACAGGGGTTGGGACGATTGAGTGGCTCACATGTGTGAAAATGACACTCGATCAATGAGGGAAAACATGGATTTAGCATGCAAAGGAAACCAAAGAAAAAATTTGATTAGAAGTCTTCATCATCGGGATCGTCATCCAAACCATCGTTATCCGACTCATCATCGTCGTCGTCACTGTCGTCGACCATGACGCGTTTGTGCGATCGTGCCTTCCGTGGAGGCAACAGGCTTTCAATTCCAGAAGCATTAATCCGAAGCGACTCAACAGTGCCAGTGGAATTGGAAGACTCACCCATGGTACCGGAACGCCCTCCAGCGGAGGAGACAACATGTCTAGAGATACCCGGGGTAGAAACAGTACTACCACGGTTGTATTGAATTTTACGTGGGGCACGGCGGGGCTTGCTACTGAACGAACTGCGACTGGCACTGTCATCTGAAAAATCAGTGAAAGCGAGCACCAAAAGTTAACCCCAGAATGATGCAAAAAATTAGGGAGCCGAGCAGAGTAGCACTAATGTTTATCATAAGTACTAAAACTTACTCCAAAGTACACATCGAAATGCGCTTTCGGCAAGAGGCAGCAAAATCGTGCCTGGAGCAAGAACTCCACCGCAGATTACTTCAACCGAAATTTGAATCATTGGAGATCCTATGTGCGCGAAAGCTGTGAACAAACTTAACTTCATATCAAACTGACAATCATTTTTATACATGTAAGCTCATTAGGTTAGTATTAGCCGTCGCAGGTTGCCATCAGCCAGGTCACCTTATTTGCTGCTTACAGAATGGCATATACGCGAGAAAGGCTGCTGCTGACACCTGTAATCACTTCCAACCCGACTTTTGTCCAATTTATGTCTTTTGTAACACAACTAACAACTGCCACCTAGTGTCCGTTTCTCAGAACTCGTTCAACTGTTCTCCTCAGCCACTTGGCACCAAATCAGCAAAAATTTGCTGCAATCCGGAAGCTCCAATACAAGGCCCAAGTACAGTAATACAGCTTAGGGTGCCATCACTATCCATAATTTTGTCTACGAACCTCAGGCAGTTGTGTCGGTAAAGCTCTCTTTGCTGCAATCCGGAAGCTCGAATACAAGGCCCAAGTATAGTAATACACCTTAGGGTGCCATCACTATCCATACTTTTGCCTACAAACCTCAGGCAGTTGTGTCGGTAAAGCTCTCGGCACCCCAGCTGAAGATTCCTCAGTTGATTGGATCCCTGTAAACAATGGTCTTTTTGCCATTCGTTTATTGGCTTCAACCAGAAGCCGAATTAGCCGAAATACTATTCATTCTGTTTACGAAGCAACATATGAACTATGTGAACCAATCAACTGTAGCTCTCCTTCAACAAAAGATAAAGTTTATGGGGAGCCAGATACTACTTGGAGTCCGCCTGCAGGTGTTTGTAAGATCATCAGAGATTTACTGCGCGAAAGAATCCAGGCCTAGATTAAATATTTTCAGCGGTAGTTTAAATGAATGTTTCTGCTTTTTATTCGATCCACTGTACTTGAGTCGCGGTCGTGAGTTGGGATCCCTCTGTTCCTGAAGAACTAATATGTTTTTCTGCCCTGAAATGCCATCCGGTCGGAGCCGGATGAGCTCCTACCAGGGTTACTCAATCTAACGACCAACTATCTATCGAACACAATTGTACGTATACCAGACCGATCACATGATATGGGCAGATCACATCATTGAAATGCGGACAGATCCGCTTGTCTCCCTCCGAATAGGTGATGGCACCCTCTTTCTATCCGCTTCTCTTCTCACGTTCTCCTGTAGTTTTTGTTTGCTGATGTTGCCTATCTCTTTCCATGACTATGCTCTTCGAAAATAAACAACAGTATCGATGAGCTGATTAGAAACTTATGGTAACAGTTTGTTCAGGTTTCTAAGTTACGTAAAGGGTCCTACGAACAAGACATGTTGCGGATAATTCTGACCAAAAAGAGGGCTCATTATCGACGTCCGAACTGAGAATAATGGAGCTATTGTGTCTAAGGATGGAAAGAAAATGTCTACATGATCTGAATCTTAAAACAGCACAAACTGTGGATTCAAAGACGGTGATAGGACTATAAACGTTCTGCAGGCTTACCGTCCTCAATTGGACCATCCATTGTATCGTCTTCGTCATCTAAGTCGTCAAGCCCACCAAGGCTATCCTCATTGATGGAAACATCTGCGGTGTTGAATGATACCGCAGGATTGCCAGAATTGCCTGTACGTAACACGAATCGTGTCGCACCGGGCCCGCCACTATGTGACAAAAGTTTGGAGTTATCACTTTGTTCGTCTTCTTCGTCATCCTGGTCATCCTCGTCCTCGTCTTCATCTTCCATCACTGAATGTCGGTGGTGATGCGAGGATGGATAGCTCTGTTGATGCGAGCGCGAATGAAGTTGCACTTCACTCTGTTGGCGTGATTCTAATTCCTCCAGCCGTTCACGAGCGTTCGTCCAAACGGACTGAAGCACAACTGAATCTTCAAAAATCTAAGTAGAACGGAAAATAACGAATAGATAGTGTCGCCGGTCTACAAATGGACAGGATCTGCAACAGCTTGTATCAACATGGTTTGGTTTAGTCACAACGGTTCACCGGCTAACCGCAAAATCTCAATTCCTCTGGAGACTCTTTATCAATTGACTGAAAGCTTATCCACAAATAAATGAGATAAGACAGACTAGGACACGCGCACGAACGGATATTTGGTCCGTCGCATTAGCCAAGCTAGGGAAACAGACCAGTGCTCCAAAACGGAGGGATCCGCAGATTGACAGTGTGCAATAAATAACGGTGTTTCAAGATGACTGTGCTGTGGTGGAAAGCCCATACCCTTGGAAGTTGTTATGCAGTATTTTCTATGTTGTCAAGGGGGTTGTTTTCTTGCTCAGTGTGGATAGCCTTAATGGAACCCGGAAGTGTCCCCTCACACAAGGTATTGCAATGGGAAAGTAGTCAAACATTTGGTTGAACTCCTCCTGTGGGATTACTTTGACGTGATCATTGGCTCCGAGAGAGCAAGCTGCATTGGATTTAGTGAGAACCGGCCTGTGGCGTTTGTATTCTTAACACATCGACAAAGTTGACATGGGTGACATCAGCCTATCCACTTTGTAGCACATTTGATTCAAAATTCATGAACCGCACTCACTGATTTGACTAGGATAAGCCCTACTCAAACTGCAACAGGGGAGAAGCCCCACTGATAAGGTCTACTTTGAAACTCACCAGGCTTCCATCCATATTGTACGTTTGTGCGTTCTTGCACAAAAGCATCACATCGGCCTCCAGCTCATCAACTGAGCGGTACTTCCCATCGCGGACACGCTGTTTTATGCGGTGGAAATCCATTGGTTTTTTAATGACCTCGTAGTAGTCAGGTAGTTCTTTTCGTGTGGGCAGTTTCATAAAAGGTTCGCTCAAAATACGTTGGTCCCTGGAGATAAAACATCAGATGTTGTGAAGGTCAAACAGCTCAGAGTGAAATGAGGGCAAGTCAGATTTATTCACGATAGAGTTTATTCGTGGCCACAGATGACATAAAAAAGGAAGTTAGTAAATCTGTCAGTAATCTACGTACTTATCTTTATACTCGATAATTATATCCAAAAGGCGACGAAGCTTTTTGATTAGTTTCGGAGAGACGGCAGAGGAATTTCTTGAGGTGCCGGTTCTCGGTCCAGAACTATGTGGTGGCCTTCCGCGACGTCGTTTCGGAGTCGACGGAGCTGCCATGATCGTGCTGCCGGCCTCAGAGCTAGCGTCGTCCAAAAAGCTAGAATCCTGTGGAAAATAAAAATAGGATCTCATGAACGAATTGTGGTAACAACCGTGTGAAGAATAAAAAACTACCCGCTAAAAATACTCCATTTATACAAGAGGACGGGAGTGGACTAAGGTCATACGATATCTGGGACTGACGCCTTCCACTTCTCACCACTCAACTCCGAAAACCTTACTTGTTACAACAGAGGATCATTTAATTGGCAGAATGAGTGACCGAAGATCTGACAGATCTACTAGAGAAATGAAGTCTCAGGTGCAGCTTTTGTATACAAGCATCTATCAGCTTACATCCCGTCAATTTTGCATTACAGATCAGGATTACGTTCCATCTCAATTGCCCGCATTATAAGGTTATCTAGATCCACTCGGTGATAAACAGAGATGGCTGGTGGGTCGAGAACATATTCACCTACTTTACCATTTGTGTCTGAGGCGAAAGTCACCCATGCGTCAAGGACATTAACATCTACTACCAAATTTCTCCCTATGTCGCTCCAACGGTCCCTTGTATATAGACCTTCGAATAATGACCGGTGTTTTCGTCTTGCGATGGTTTGTCCGCGATTTACTGTTGAAAATAAATCCAACAAGCGGCTCTCTCTCTCTAAACCGATATGCCAGCAGCCTGTGTGTTGGTACAACTTTTTTTACCTGAGTATCAAAGACCGATCAACGTCAACACCACAATCCAGTTCGCATTATTCGTCAACATATTACCGATAAAACCGAGACTTACAGGTATGTCCGTAACGAGAGAGGGAATACTTTAAACATACCTTTTTTCGAATACCCACAATTCTGCTCTTGATATTTTCTCATACTGCTTGCTTCATGTAATTTGCTTGCATCAGCCTAAGGGACCTCTACTGCAATCTGTTTCCTCGTATATTAAGTTAGCTGTTTATCAGTTGCGTCTGCAGGTATATTCAGAGTTTTGTTCAGACTGAAGATCTTCGGTGTGATTAGTATCAACAACTGCCGACAATTTATGAACCAGGGTGCCACCATGTTACAGCAGGCCTAATCGAACCTACATCAATTCAGATGATATCACCAGCATAACCGAGATGTTTACCTCATAAAGGGTGTAAATTTGGAAGGGACACCTTTGATCTCCAGACACTGCCAAATTTGCTGACGATCCACAGAATCGAAAGCAGCTTCCAAAACAATAAAAACGAGCAACGTGGGATGTCTGAAGTAGTGACGTTGTTCAAGAATTAGTCTCAAGTTAAACATATGGTCGATGCATCCTCGATCAGGGCGAAACCCAGCTTGATTCTCACGAATCTGTCTCTCCCGATAATCTAGCAACCTGCGCAGAATAATGCCAGAGCACCTTAGATGCGACGGATATCAGGCTCATCCCTTATTTTTTGGTGCCCTTTTTAAAAACCGAAGTGACGATCGGGGATCCCCATTCGGCTGGTATTATGTTTTCGTTCCTAATCTTCTGACGTTTGGTTCTCAGACTGTTCACTAGGAACTCACCACCATCAAACCATCGGAGTCAGGTGTCTTGTAGCACTTCAGGATTGATATTTCAGGTTAGATTTTGGTTGCTGATGGTGGGTTGGTGTCGATGTTCCATTCAGGTTTGTTGGGTTCTTCCATCGGTTGTGCTGAAGAAGGCCAACTGAACTGTTTTCGAAGTACTCAGCTCCCAGATCAAAACAACGATTGGGAGAGGGAATTGTCGTTCCGTCTTTTTCGAATGGTGTTTCACCGACACCCGCCTCCTTTTGGCCGATCGATCAAATCAGTTTTCGGGTGTTCTTTTAGTTTTCGGCCTGGCCATATGGTTGATCTAAATATGTACTCAAGGAACACCAGCGGTATAAACCGCTGCTTCTGGCGTAATTCTCACCATGTGCTTAATGTGTAGCCCTCACCATCTGTCCCATGTTGTGTACTGATTATTCTTATGGGTATGCATCTCCGTTGGGGTAACATAAACGAACAGCTATCAGAAACACCATATTTGCCTTGAGCGTCTCGAACACCTTCACGTTAAGAATGACGCAATACACTAGTTTGACAATGGGCAAATTACTACGGTCTGCACCAAAAAGCCGCTACTATAAGTGCGACAAGCCATTAGAAACACCTTGGACAGATGATCGGTAAAGTCATGCGTTCAAAAAGTGAAACGGTGTTTAGCAGTCATGGCTGGAATACCTCTTTCGGGACTGACAAATATCGTCTGATTCGAAACTCGTCCAGTCATGAATTATGGCACACTTCAATCCCTACAGTGTATGAAAGACAGACTCATCCGCATAAAACCTTCTTGATGGAGTGAAGTAGGGTGTATGTATTACTGTATCACTATACTGAAAGACCATAGAACCCAAATGAATTTGAAGTGTATAAATCGAATTAAAACATCTACATTAGAACATAAACACTGCCCAAGCCATTCACTTGTTGTAAGGTCGATTTTTTACTTGGTATGCTGATAAAGACAAATATTCAACGGATCCATCAAATTGCACGTGATGGTCAAGCATGTTCTGCAAGTGCTTGGAGGTTACGTGCGTCTGTAACAAGACGGCAGGAGGAGGCCCCTTGAGTGACTAGAACGTCCCAGATTCACAGAGTTAAGCCGGTGGAAGGTCGTCACTTGTGGAATCACAAGCGTAAGAAGACAGTATTCACTAATGATGAAAGGTGCGATTGGACGATGCAAATGGCTTGATTTGCTACGGGAACGATATGCAGAACGGTGAGCAAATTTACAATGACCGACATTACACTGGAGGGTCCTACATGGTCTCGGGTTCCAATTTCACTATAGATAAACATGTAATTAGACCAGAAGGAAAACCCACAGAAAACAGGATACACGAAACTTCAACCTATCAACGCCCCGATATGTAAGGCCTTAATGACTAGATGCTTGTCAGACTACTCTGTACACAGAAGCGATCATAAATCCAGTAGACAGGAAATATGGAGAACGAAAATTCTACATAAAGCTAAAAAGGCCCTTTGATCTGTGAATGGACTGAGCACAGGATTTGCGGTCACAAAAAGGAATTTGAGGAGGGAACTTCCGCAAAGCCTAGGTATATGTGTGCGAATAGGTACATTTGAAAGATAGTCTTCAGGTTGTTTTCGGCAGTTTCTTGAATTTTTTTAAACCCTTTAAACAAGATGTTTCTGTTGACAGCTCAAAACTCTCGGGCACATTTTTCGCGACGTACTGACCTAACTGAGTGCAGCTTCAAGGGTGAAGATGTGTAGCGCGCAGTAGTGGATGACGACGTTAGCATACTGAATTTTGTGGCTTTTCGTAGTAGGGTGTCTGAGAAAGTTACAGATGGGATGTTTATACATTACGTGAAAAAGGTCAATGTATGTACGTGAGACCTTCAATCTGTTTCAGTCTCATTGGTGGGGACAGATTCTTTACAGCTGTCGGGTCGTGTCTCCCCAAAAATGTTATCTGGGTGAATGTGCCGTTTAGGTATTACGGTTAAATGTCATAAGACTAGCTAAATTGCTAGATACCCACGAGACCAACGATATAGATTATTACCCCCCCCCCAACGCTTGACACTAGGTGTAGTAACTTTATTGCACAGACACAAAAAGACCGCCCTTCATTAGATATTCTGGTCCAAAGATCGATTCGTTCTGCTAGGAACACTGTACCGGTGAGATGATTTGAAATAAACAAAATGGAAAATAGACTAAAGCCTACGTCTATCCTCTTCCGTTTCTTTCGTGCAGCCCGACGCTGTCGTTGACGCTCCTCAGCCTCTTCCAGACTTCCCTCGTCAATCGCCTTGAGGAACTGTCGTTCTGTTAGTGCGTCGGAGTAGTCCACTTCTTTGCGCTGACGCTTCAGTCCAAACACACCATCTTCCATTAATAGACTCCTTTCCAGCTACAGATTGAAGTAATGACAGAATTATGAGGCCATAAATAAGAAAACCATCATGTAATACATAATGTAATAAAAATGACAGACCGATTCGAAGGCCGCGAAAAGGCGACCAGAATAAGATTGCGACCGGAATATGTAGTAATTAATTTGAGTAATTTCAGTAATTAATTTGAGTAGCGGTTTTGCCGAGTTAGACAGATTCGAATATCTATATACATAATGCACGCCGATGGCGAAGTAATACTTTAGCAACGTCACGGTACGTCATACTGATTTTGATAATCATGTTGGTTCAGTCATGCACCACAAAAGATTCACCAAGACGGTGCCCATAAAATGTCAGAATGGTGAGCAAGACTGCGGGAAACCGGAAACCACAAACGACCAGGGTTATCAGTGATACGACTTTTTCTACCCCTGAGTTTGCGACATTCGCATCGTGTCAACAAGTCTTCATGATCAGACCCGATTCGCAGTGGGAAACCACCAATGTGGTCATTCATTTTTATTGTGCCCTCAGTGTATCTGCATTATCCACCCCGCATGACTACGCGAAAAAAAACAAGACTACGCAGTAGCAAATACACACTAATTTCCACTTTTAACAGGAAAAACAGTTATCCCATAAAAACGCAGTTGTAAGAGTGAAAGCGCAGGCATCTCTGTTGGCAAAATACACTCATTTGTAATCCACTTTGACGCCAATGGGAGACTCAGCTGAATCTCTCGTTTATGAATTCCGAATTCGAAATTGATCGTGGCTTCTACAAGAACAACTTCTGTTTCGCAAGCTGTACATAGGTACATAGCTTATTACTGAACACCTAAAACACCACCGTGTGATTTCATGAGCGGAGCCGTGTAAGCGGAAAGAATAGAACGAAGCCACTGAAAATCATGGGTTTCTTCGGACACCCAGTACTTATTCAGCCTGCTTTAGTGGCATTGAGTTATTCAATGGAAACGTTGCAAGCGAAACACACCTCTGCTTCATCCCGAATAATCCAGTTGGGCAATTCCGCATACTCCATCAGGCGAGGCTCTCTCTTAGTCTGCTGACTCTCAGCAAACTGCCTTTCCACATCCATACGTTGATAAATTTCGAATTCTTCTTCGGTGCGAGCTAACATCTGATTGATAGTCTCATCATCTGGTGCCTCGTCTTCCTCCTCATCAGCTTCCTCATCTTGCTCGAGTAGTGCCTGCAAAAACTGTCTTCTTTCGGTGCCAGTTGACTTCTGGTCGAACATGCCGGCTTGAATTACCTTCTGATCAACATCTAACTTGAAGCGGGCGGCGGCAAGTATTTTCTCTTCCACAGAATTGATTGAGATCAAGCGAAGGACACGAACCTAGAGGTGGAAATAGTTTAGAGTAACAGAAGCGCTTAGGCTGGAGAAGTTAGGGAATAATAGGAGGGTGAGTTGCTCACAGGTCAAATTCGACTGATTCAGATGCAATACAATCATTGTATGAGTACACTTACAAGGATTCGAATGGGGCTATCTTGGTTATGGTCACGAGCCGACAATCACTGATTTCAGTAACTAGTTTGCGATATCTAATAAGAACATGCCAAATTGATCGGAAAACCCATTTTGTGTTGTTAGATTGATCAGTATTAATGACCATGTAAAAAAGATAGCCATATGGGGCAGAAAGCAAATGAAGAATGAAACAGTGCATGTCTAAATCCTAGCAATTTAGCTGGGCTAAGAGAACACCAAAGATAGTCATTCGGAAAGGAAAAGATATCCGGAAACAACAGACTAACTTCATTCTGCTGGCCAATGCGATGTGCGCGATCTTGAGCTTGGAGATCTTGGTGGGGGTTCCAGTCAGAGTCGAAGATGATGACCGTATCGGCTGCCTGCAGATTAAGACCTAAACCTCCAGCACGTGTCGAAAGAAGGAAGATGAATATATCTTCTGTGGTGTCGTTAAATTTGACGAGTAGTTCACCACGGTCCTCAGCACGAGTGGTGCCATCCAGTCGAAGATAGCGGAAATTCCGGTAGTCAAAGTAGTCCTTCAAAAGTAGAGGGTTAAAACTGGCTAAATGGGAGTCAATAATTTATTGTCAATCGTGGAGCTACATGGACTGATGAGAAACTTCACCTAAGTAGCCTCTCTCCGACTGCCTACAAATGGTGTTTAGTCGGAAGGCCGTTTCAATAGGTTAAAGAACAACTGTCGAGCGAACAGTCACTAAAAAGGACCTTATTATCCAATAATAATCCGGAAAAATTCATTCCTCCAAATCGTAAACCGGCTACTCAGTCCAATGTGATCGCTACGGGGGAAAAAGATAGTCCTGCAACCACAGTTCACAAGCCTCACCTATGGAGATGTTCAAATGCAGCTGGTTTTTACAACACGAGAAATGTTGCGTCAAACTACTTCCCGGAGTCCAATGGTTCATTTTGCGTCACAAGTGATCTAAAACTTCACTTGAGCTTGCTATGATACCTATAGCCACAGAGCTGCCGACGTTCTTGGCACAGGATCGCAAGACACGTGGAGTTATTCTCTTACACGCTAACTGAGAAGGTACTGAGGTGAGGCTTGAAAGCGGATTCTTCAGCCGAATGCACCGCTAAAGGCCACATCGTGGTTCATTTAGGACGGCACTGAATATTTTTTCTCGACTTTGTAAACAGTATGGTGACGAGAAAAGGACTCGACACACCACAACTTAGTTCCTCCAGGCATTGGAGCACACCAAGACAATACCATGAGTGGTCAAGTCAAATTGAAAGTTATCAGGTGCAGACCACGTTTTAAGGCAGTCTGTTACGATTTCATCGCGATGCTATAAACCCAATTTCGGATACGCCAAACTGCCCTGGTGCAACTAACTGCTAACAATCTTTGTGAATTTTTAGTGACCAAAATGAAGTCCTGTCCCTGTTAGCTGATAACCGAAATCGCTGGGCGGATTAAACTGCAATAGGTATCAAGAAACTGACATTGTTCTCGGATGATGAAGTCGGATTTTTTCTACCGTTCATAATAGTATTCAAAATGTACCAACTAGCTGCATCAAACCGGACATGTAAAGGAAGTCAGGCTCACCTTGAAAACACCGGACACACGGACAGATTGTCGACTATATTCAAATCCATGGCTCTACTCACCTGAGTTATTCGCCTACTTTCCCATCAAACTACACTTCCTGGCTTGGTGTTCGTACAAACTCTAGACATAACCGTGTAACATGACCTCAACGCTCCACCAAACCTACTCCGTAGTATCATCACTTTTCATTCCCATTCTGCATCCGTTTTCGTTCGCTACGCCTGTTTATACAACCATGAATCGCAAACGTGAAACAACCCGAAAACAGCTACGCTCCCGCTATAACATTTTCCGTTTTCAAGAGCCAAATGAATTTCTTTAAGAAGAACCATAACCACATATTTGTCTTCCTGTAAGGTGATTAAGTAGTGAAACACGGATGTCTGACAGCAGCTGTTCACAGTTGGTTCCAAAATGATAGATCACGAAAGTGTACGTCCTTTATATGCGTCTACACTAAACAAACAGGGAGGATTTACTGCAATCAATGACGCAATACATGCGTTGACTACCCACCAAGCACATAAACGCCATCATGAAATGCGATTGTTAAGGGATCTAGTCGATCAACCTGAAATCTCTTCGGCAACAAAAACGTGCCAAAATTGTAATCATGTTAGACAAGTGTAAGCTCATCACTAGCAATTACGAAAGCGAGAACTTAATTTTATTTGGAAGAAGCGGTCGGAAATAGAAATGAATTTATTCTCTTAAAAAAGGGCACTAATTTCGACTACAAACCCAAAGAGCTGCTTACTTTTAACAAAGCTAGCTACATGACAGACAGCTCATATTGTTACAGGAGAAAGAACCATATCCAGCTCACAGTCACAGTATTTCCTACCTCACTACTCCGGGTTCGTGATTGCAGAGTTCCATTCTGCAAGTGTAAGCTCATCACTAGCAATTGCGAAAGCGAGAACTTAATTTTATTTGGAAGAAGCGGTCGGAAATAGAAATGAATTTATTCTCTTAAAAAAGGGCACTAATTTCGACTACAAACCTAAAGAGCTGCTTACTTTTAACAAAGCTGGCTACATGACAGACAGCTCACATTGTTACAGGAGAAAGAACCATATCCAGCTCACAGTCACAGTATTTTCTACCTCACTACTCCGGGTTCGTGACTGCAGAGTACCATTCTGCTACCTAGCAATTCAGCGCGGCAACTAATGTGAGCGGTATTCCAGTGGCGCATCATTGCGCCTCGTTATACGAGCTGCTGTGGATTTCCCGCTACCACACACAATATGACAAAACTGCGCGACAAAAATAGGAACGAGACATATGCATACTGACCTGCATAATAGTCATCAGACTTGTCATCTGACAAAAGATTAGCACTCGATGTCCACAGGCTTTGAGTTTAGGTAGGATACGATCCAACAGCTCAAACTTGCCAGAAGATCGATACAACATCTTCCCTTCAACCTGAGTAGGCAAGGGCATTCCCGGTGGAGGATTACCCCCGTGGTTACTGATGAAGCTTTGTTCGGCGATCGCGAGCTCAATGTGCGTGAACATGAAGGGATGATTGCATATTTTTCGTAATTGCATGATTGTGTTCATTAGCGTCCGGCAGCCACCTTTCCCCTATAGAAGCAATATGACGCAAGATTGAGGTTTGGTTTGGGAACGAACGTCAAAAACACTTCGAAAAAACCAAGAACGCTAAGTAACAGGAGAACATAATTCTTACTCCCGGCATCTGATGAGATGAAATATACGAACAATAAGCATAATGTTGGGGAAGAACATATCAATTTGGGGCTCTACGATGCTTTTAATAAGAGTAGTGTCCTTAACAAGCAACTCAGTTCTGGATCGCCCCTTTATTGTTTGCAGAGCAGTACTGATTGTTGAGGGTAAATCTTGAGAAATCAAACTCAGGTTGCCTGTTTGAAGTGAATTTTCTCAGGTTGAGTAAATAACTTTAGTGCCTTTAACAACGTTTGATGAGTACTTAAATCTTGACATCAAACGACCTCAGACTTTTCCCCAATCAGTTGAGTTGCTGAAATCTTTTCCTCAATGGATCGAAATTTCGTCAAGTTGACCACATAAATAACGTGAAGACAAGGAATGTAATTTTCACTACCCAAAGCAAAGTGACTACACACGTCCAGCCACTAGGTAGTACCAGTCCTTGAATGCATATAATACAGGCACTAGGATAGGAGTGTTCCTCCATCAGATTGAAGCGAAGATACGAGGTCACCTTCGGATTTCACACCCAATCTACGGATGGTCTGAGCCCAACATCCCCCAATTTTTAACGCACGTGTTGAGGCTCCGACTGGGGAATACACTTATGGACAACTGAGGAGAAGCTTATATTTTGAAGATAAACCCAGACGCAAGGTTTCTGACAGCCAATCCCTCCATTCCCAAACGTCAGCAATACAGGAACCAAGTGACGGATTGAATCCTATCCTAGATCAACAATGTAAAATGTATCGCGCAGAGATATTTCGTCAAACTAGACCGTTACTTCTTCGATATTATGTATATTTTTATATCACAAAAGGCATATTGGCGAAAGTTCGACAGGTCATGCTACGTGTGTGAGAAAGCTTAGAAACGCAGAGCACTGCCTCAAGTAGAGTTACCTGAAGTCTCACTAGTGACGAGTGCATTAGAGTGGAACAGATCAATGGGGGATAAAATTGGAAAACCAATACAAACCAAAGCGTAATATGGAATGCGATATGACAAAACAAGATGCAGATGAGTTAGCTAGTGGGTGATGCACATCAAGCAGATTAGACACACTCGGGGGACAAATAGGGTATTGTGAGATCCAACTGACAAGTTGCATGAAAGAGTCTGAAAGATGGATGGCTATTTCAAGGACACTGCCGTATAGGGACATAAAAAAAAACTAAGATATGTTGGAAAGTTAGTGTTGTTCATGAGATATTTCTTATTACTTACTGAGAAGTGTTTTGCTCGTCTGCGTCAGTACTCACAAAGGTGTTGCTGCATACATATCGGTTGTGTATTGTGAGATGGGACTACTGTATACTATTCTGCCATGAATATTCAGAGCTGCGAGCAACCTCCATCAATTGACAGTACAGCTACACAGGCCACCTAGAACAGTCACTATTGCTTCAGTGGAGAGCAGCTGGAAACTCCTGTATCTATCAAGTGCTGAAGCAGCTGTCGAACACCTTAGCCACCAGAACGTTTAAGATATTCGATAAGCAGCAGTAAGCAAATACTCCACGTGAATCTGGGTAAGAATCACTGTCCATATGCAACGAAAATTCCGTAATTTCAAGGAACTGAGGTATCTCGTTCCTGGAGACTGCTACTGTTAAGTGAGATGACAGAGGTTCAGCTAAATGAATTAGCCACTGTTCGTTGGTGTTGCTGGTAATGACACCAAAGGTTATTGTTTAACGTAGGGTTCGAGACTTATGATTGGTAAAAACGTACAAAATGTACTACGTCTCTACACCCGAAACATCCGTATACTACGCTGGTAACGAATAACGATTTTTTGTCAGTTTCATGAGAGGAACTATTTACTTAAACGTCGAATATATGAGGTTAGTTACGGTACTCTTTTTCCAAAAAATGTTCCACGTGGGGCGAACGTTTGATGGTTCAACAAGCCCACCAGAGTGGGGGACGAGATGCTCATGCACGAAGTCCGCCATTTCTACGGAAGAGCAACGCGGACCATGTGATATGAACATGTGCAGCAGCTATTCCTAGTTGTCAGGATCCGAAGTTGTCACATATGTAGCATAATTGTCCTTAGACAGAAGATAGTGGGAGAAAATCTATCAGTCCAAGAAAAACCTTCACACGATCATGGCGTAGGGATCTCCTGAGAGGCTATCTTAATGTACTAGGTAGGTACATTCACCAAACGGTAGAAGGCTCTTGTAAGAATGAGTTCACTCGCACCGTTATCAAAATCGCCAAAATGGAAAACAACAACCAACACCTATAAGTATACACTTGCCTTCTTATCCTTCTCCGATCCATCGGTCAGGATGACGCCTTTGGACTGCATATGCGAGTACAGAACTCGTTGAAGTGCAGACATGTCGCACTTGATCACGTATTCAACCTTCTCAGGCAGCTGCGATTCCACCTCACGTTTCAAGCGTCGGAGCAAGAACGGCCGGAGCACTTTATGTAGACGACGAATGATCAGTAAAGTTTCTTCTTGATTCAACTCCACCTAAGAGAGAATGGAAGCATCAGATGAAATACACGGAAATATATCCCTATACATCGCTATTGAATTGGAGGAATGTGTTGCAAGAGGAACGATTAATCGTAAAACAGGCATTCCCCGTTCAACTGTTCAAAAGTAAACACTGCTGATAGGTCGCTACGGAACTCGAGAAACATCAGTGGTAACGACAGGAAATACTGACACCGAAGTTATGGGCTGAACCCGATTCATGCTCAGAGACTGCTTCTATCCAGGTTTTGGCAACACAGCAGCAGGTAAATCCTCATGTCTCTTTCGAACTATGCGGTGGATCGAAAAGATGACAAGGCCAAGTAATGATTCTTTTTGCAATGGAAAGCATAGTAGTATAACTCAGGCTCTCTGAAACCAATGATGAGTCTACAAAAGGGAACTGTTGGATAGAAGTGAGGGACTCGAGAGAGACTGATTGTTGCTAAGTAATAGGGGTTGGCTGAAAGATGGGGATTTTGGAGAAATCAGCGATAACCAATATGGGATTAATTCCCGTACGACACTTGCCTACGATGGCTGCACCAAAAATAATGCAAAAGTTGACGTGTTTTTTTTCGTTAAAGTGCACACGTTACCTAAATCTTGCTAATCAATTCCAAGCAGAAACAGCAGGCCGTCAATGCATTTTTGGCGAGCGAACGATACAGACTGTCTGTCCGACATCCACAGACTATCGTAAGTTCACGCAAACGATCCTACTGACAAGAGGATCATGCACAGATGGACAACGTTTGGAAAAGGTTTTTGTGACTCGTAACCCGGAGGTTGGTCCTTGCTTGCTGTTTCGCCCAATATGGTACATCAAGAAGCATGGTAGTTTGGGACAGCTTTCAGCAAAAATAAAGACTCCTAAAGTTGTATTTGCAGTGGCCCCAGAACTTTCCACAAGGCGAAGTTATAACTTCGTAATGGAGAGGGAATCGCCGGGCTAGAAATGCTTGATTCTGATTGGTCCGTATTTTGGCAATAATAGCCTACGTACGACTCGTAGCCGATTCGCAACGCATGCGCCCAATTGATAAAATGTTCGGTTATTTCAAGCGAATCGCCCCAGGCAAAGGTGAAGCCAGTATCGAAGAGAAACCACGCAGTGGGAGGCCGCCAAGTGCGACCAGACACAAAGTGTCAGAAAGTGAGCGAATTGATCCACACGGATAAGTCACGAGTCACCATCCGTGACCTTGCTACACAACTGGAACGCTGAACAGAAGCTGGTGGAAAGCCCAGGATGCTGAGAAGTGGATGCCTCGGTAGCTAACGCTCGACTTAAAGAGGGAGCAGTAGAAGTTTGATTTGATTTGGTGAAAGAGTTTGAAGCCAACAAAGACAGGTTTTTCCGATCTGGTGACAAACGATGAAAGGTGTGTATGCCCTTGTGGCCTGAAAACGAAGAAACAAACCATGAAATGATGTTATACCTCTGCTGCAAGTCCCAAGAATTTCGGAAGGTGTGGTAGCCGACAACGGTGACATTCTCCTAAATTTTCTGGGATATGACTGTATCATGACCCAATAGCCGTATCCCGAGATACTTCAGACGCCTACAAAAACCATGGAGACAAAGAGACCGAACGAGAATCGGAGAAGGACTGACATTCTCCACATACTCACCGCTCATACCTTTGATAACAAATCAGGGGACTGGTAAATTAGACTGGCCGGTGGTCCCCAACCCACCGTACAGTAAAGATCTGACGCCTTCCGGTCTCTACCTCTTCGGTTCAGTGCAATACAACGTTCGGACGTAACAGCTTGATGAAACTGATGAGATGAGAGTGGTTGTAAAGAAGTGGGCACAACAGTGCACAGCTGATACAAACGCATTGTCTGTGATGAAGACTATACTAAATAACACGTTTTATGTGGAAAAATTGTTCTACAAAGATGCAGAATTTCAACGAAGTATGTCACTTAATAAAAAGGCTAAGCCAGCGTAAGAATTTCCTTTGTAACGACCCTCATAGAGACGACTATACACATATGCATCGTTCAACGAGTACGACAGGGCGAAATCACCTTAGAGACCTCAACAAGAACCCTTAACAGAACCAGCGAATCACAGCCAATATCATGAATACAACCTCTGGTCTTTTGACTTGGGAGGCCTCTTAGCCTGCTAGGAATGTTATCGCTGGGGTAAGAAAGGATACGCCAAACTGATAATACCAAAACTAGACCCTTTAGTGCGTCTAACCGTGGAACGACAGAAAAGCGAGGCTATTTTCACTCGACACCCTTGCTGGACAAATGTTCTGCAAGGGAGTGAGCAAATTATTGCAGGGAAGCTTGAAAACAAAATTCTCCGAAATATGATTTCTCGATCAAAAAATGAAGGATCAACGATTTTAATGGCATTCATGGTAACTTCTATTCAAATGACTCGACCGGCCACTTGGAAGAGAAGGCAGCTCAAAATGGCCGGATAACACTCGATCCCTGATCTACCTTCTTTTTGTTTCCCTCTACATTTTCTTTAAATTGCGGTTCTATGAAAATGTGGTACCAGTGTCACCGCTAATCTTGTTATTAATGATGGTCATGAAGAAGCCTGACGAAACGAGTCTAACACCAAAATCATTCACTACCGTGCTTGTCCGTCCTTCCCTCAAAAAAGTTGTACTTTCTTCCCCCCAGTCAAACTCTTCTCTTATCTGCTGCTGTCTGCTACATCTATCCCATGGACTCTATTTACATTTTTTAACTCCTCACGAACTTTAACCCTTTGTTTGTCGAACCAGTTTGGTCGGCCATTCTTTACGCGGGCTTTTTGACCTATTTGCGTTACCACGTGTTGTACCCAGGTGTGCGTTGCAAACTAAGATCGATTTGCTATCTTCTCCGGGCTTTCTTTGGACTTGCACCACTTCGTGCAACAGTTTAGACGGAAACCCCCATAATTTGAGGTTTGTACCCCTTTTATTATGTATTTTATACATGTAGTACCGCATCTTTTGATAAATCTCAAGAATCCACAATTTCTGGCTTGTGATTTTGCGCGTCACTCAAGTGGGCTTTCCTGAATACATCGAAATATTCTACAGTCGATGACATCGAAATTTTACAGTTTTACTTGGATGAGTGCAGGGGTTGATCACCTGTGTTGGACCTGTCGTGTTAAGTCGGGTAGGCCGCATCAACCATTCTGAATGTATAGGACTGAGGGAGTCTTGGTCGACCATCTTTGCGCGCGCTTTTCGACCATTTGTGTTAGCACGTGTTATGCGTAGGCGTGTGTCGATAATTTAGATCGATTTGTTATCTTCTCTGGGCCTTCTTTGGACTTGCACTACTTCGTGCAACGATTTAGACGGAAGCCCCCATAATCTGAGATCTGTACCCCTTTTATTATGTATTTTATACATGTAGTACCGCATCTTTTGATAAATCTCAAGAATCCACAATTTCTGGCTTGTGATTTTGCGCGTCACTCAAGTGGGCTCTCCTGAATACGTCGAAGTATTCTACAAAAGTCAACACAAGAAACGCCACCCGTTACTTTGAAAAAAGTACCTGATGGGTATGCATATAAAAATTAGCAAAATCATCACTACATTGGCTGTTTACCTTTTCACCCGTCGCTGCAAACGGTGCATTGAACCACTGTTCAAAGGTATTGACGCTCTCGAATATGGTTGGCAGTAGGAAATTCAACAGAGCCCACAATTCCGGTAGCTTATTCTGGAGCGGTGTTCCGGTTAGTAGTAACCGATACGGTGCCGTGTAATAGGTGTTCAGCACTTGGGTCAGTTTACAATGATGATTCTTCATGCGATGTCCTTCGTCAATAATCATGTACTTCCACTTAATCTATAAAAAGGCAGGGAGAACAGGCATGAGAGAGTAGCTGTACAGAGAATCACTGAACAATCACGGATGAAGCGCATATGGCGAAAAACTCTTTGTAAACGAATAAGACGATAAATAGAGCATCAGTTCCGCTCTGAGTCCGATGTGTTAGGAAACCATAATACCCCACATTTCATTTTCGAAGAATGTTTTCATAAAAACACCAAAAACACAATGTTTGGTCGACTTTACGCATGCTCGGCGTACGTAATGAATCCTTTGAGGGCGGGGAGAAACGTAGAATTTAGTTGGGTGTTATTTCTCTGAAAACCACAGCCTTTCCCTTGCCTAGAGACCATATGAAAATCGCTCACGGGAACTTTATAGCAATCACCATCAATCTAACTAGATTCACAGGTTTATTGATAAGGAGCATGTAGAAAGGAAAATATCCGTCCAATAAGACAAAATCTTGTGTTCCAAAGTTCGTGTGTTGGAGGTACCACAAGGATTAGGTCCAAAAAAGCGCATCATGTGACAAGCTTGGTACCCTGAAACCCGTCTCCAAGGTAAAAACAATGCGCTATCAACAGAATCAGTTTAGGGAAACAGTAACGGGCAACTAGCCACATCCGATTCTTCATAAACTGCGGTACTGCGAAACATTGGGAGTATGGAAACACAAACAGCCAGAGTAACTTTGTGGCCTGCTGAAGAGGTACTAGGAGGTTTTGGACAATCATTTTGAATGAGCCATGTGAAGGCTTGAGTGGTCTACGGTATATTTACCCTCAACGATGTGTGGAAAATATGTGAAACTCGGTTTTTGTGGGACGATTCGCTATCCTCCCCGAAATATATGAACAAACGAATGGCGGGGACACTTACCTTAGACAAGGCGGCTTTATCTTTGATAATATATTCATAGGTTGTCAGCAGCACGTTAATCTTTGAGGCTTTGAGTTGGACTTGCAATAGTCGACGAGCTTGGGGAGAGCCTTTGTACAGAATTTTTTTCACGCTCGGAGCCCATCGGTCAAATTCCATCGCCCAGTTTGACATGACGCTAAGCACAAGGGAAAGGAAACAGAATGTAACTAAAAAAGCTCATTAGGTGAAAGCAGAGAAGGGCTATGTGTTGAATATTGCAGCACACAACTTTAACCGACAAAATCTTATCTATCGGCACTTTACATTCATCCAATTAGTTGGTATCCTGAAACTGGTTAATGTTCGCGAAATACACTCATCTGTACCCGGATTTGGTTTTAACAGGAGATCCGAACGATTTCCAGCTAAGTCTCTAGTTTAGGATATTCTGCAACTGAAAGTGTTGCGCAAAGGTCGCCATATGTTTAAGTTGGGACGATATTCAAGAAGTCTTCAGCAACCTTCCCAATTCTGAAGGACATAGAGAGTACTTTTTGATTCACATCCTTCAACAAACCGAGAACGGATACTAAAATTTGTCACCATAGCTTAATGGGCTTGGTCTTCACCACAGGTTACATGAGTAGTGACTCTACTGGCCATGCTGGTAAAGTGATGCAGTTCGCACGTAAGAAAGCCATCTAGTGTAAAGCCATGTTTACGTACTGAGGGGAAATGATCTGTTTGTTACCTACTGATCAAGCACGGAAGATGAGTTTACTTGACAACGCGGGCGGCCGTTGCCCACGTGGATGGTCACATTGAGGTGAGAAAAATTAGTGGATAAAAAAATGGTGGCGGCTAAATTATCACGTTAGTGGCGTTCCTGCTGAGCATAAAAAACGATGNCTTGTTCTAGGGAACATCATCGAGCATCGAGGGGACTGAAGTTTCACAATGGACCGGCACAAACTACCGCCTTCGAAGCATGTTGTCCCTTCACCATGACCTAGGTAAACACAAAGTGGCAACTGAGAACTATGCATTCTCGTAAGAAGTCTAGGAACGAGGCACTAAAATAAGCTGATCAAACCATATTACAAGACTCTAGAAACATTTAGAAACGAGAGAGCAAAAACAAATGGCAAATTTCCATACGAATTGCTCGGAACTTTCAAACTACCGTGGAGATTGGATAGCTAGATGATCCCTACCTTAGGTAAGGTGGTTCATGTACCGGAAACCGTGAAAGCCGTTAAGGTCAGCATCCAACCTAAGATATTAATTCTATTGACAATAATCTTTTAAGAAAAACCTAATTTCAACTAAAATCCGATCAAGGTTGTTAGGAGGAAAAGTAGCACTAGACGAATGATCCGGGCACTGAGAGTCTCACAAAAGGATAGTGGAAATTATCTCTCCCAATAGCACGGACCAGAGATTTTTACAATTACGTAGTACTAAATGGGTGACGTTTAAAAATACAGCTAACTCGCCCTATCAACAAGGCCATACACCGTACAGTAATTTGGCACAAGGCGTTTCAGTCATTTTAGTACCGATCTGCATCTTAATTGTGGAAGCTACGGACAAGTTGATATGAGGTGCGTTTGAGAAACATGAAAAAACTCACGATAGGGGTACAATAATTAAGAAGGGTCCGTTGACACGTTTCTTCTCCATGAGATGTGTGATCAATGCGATGGTTTGAATAGTCTTTCCCAGACCCATTTCATCGGCCAAAATCCCGTTCAGGTTGTTATTGTACAATGAGACCAGCCATTCCAAGCCACGCAGCTGATATTCTTTCAGACGGCCATGCACTAAAATCGAAGCTTGCTCCTTGACCTCCTCCCTAACCGCGTGTGCCAGAGTATAGTAAGATTGAGGCACATTAGCCCCCGATTCTCCACGCTTGTTGTACTCATCATCTTCGGTGCCCACATGAACCATTGTACTGTCGTCATCGTCGTCATCTTCTTCTGAACGGCGTTTGCGTTTCAGATCCTCTTCAGTTTCTAGCAAGTCTTGTATTGTGCTACCGTCTACATCAGTCGGTGTCACCTATAGAGAGAAGAGTTAGATAATAAAGCAGTTCGTAGTGATGAAGATAGAGGTGAAAAGCCGTTTGGAACGGGAAAATCAGAGTGCCGTATAATTTGGTCGTCTGTACTCGCACTGTTAGGGAGTCTGGCAAGTTGACCATATTCTCCAAACCGACATAATGTGGTGGGAGTGTGGGAGTCTACAAATTTTGTGTATCCATCTACGAAAATGCATTCATTTGGATTGGAATGGTGACAGTGTGTGTCAGAGAATCCAAGTAAAACAAATATCTACCAACAGGTATCCTCGCAAAGACCATTTCACCCCTGGGTGCCAACAATTTTGCCCTCATCCCAGAAATTGGACATCACTCCAGAGACCTTTCTTGAGGCCGGCAATAACGTAAGTAGTGTCTACTATACATGAACATAGAAAATAAGCCTTATGCGACAGAAATTCTACCAACAGCTTCAAGGGCAATTTGCGATTTTCTAGTTTTAATTCCGTTCCCAAATAGCTGTACCGAATATGTACTCTGGAGTGGTGCTCAGTTATCGGTAGATTCAGCGTACACTGCCGGGTCTGTTCCTAGACAACTAATGTATTTGTATCATGCGAGATGGTTCAAGTGGTCGGAGAGCGAATTTACTGACCGGAAGGTCCGTGGTTCGAAGCCGACCTCTGTCCCTCGACTTCTCCTGTCTAGGCTCGGGCAACCTGGCAGTATCTCAGCCCTCGTGCTTACTTCGGGTGGCATGACAGCTAGGCATCTGAGGGCTGTTACAGTTGAACGATTTTTTATTCATTCTACTCTGCTGCCGTAGCTAATAAATCACAAGAGTAAGAAATGTGCTTCATCACGGTGCAACAAATTCGTTTACAATCATGCAACTACCGTTCTCACTGCGTTTCACTGTGTTTGTATCGACGGCGTAGCTAATGTGCTTGAGAGAATTAGCAACTGCAAGCACAGTTCCCTGCTTAACTAATATACAGAATGAGGCTTTTTCTGAAAACGTGCAATAATCTAACATAAAGGGACCCTCTTCCCCACATAACAGCACAAGAAGTTCGTATATGTGATCGTAAAAGCCAAAAACCCGCAAATCCATTAGCTTAAATAATAAACCCAGACCAGTCTCGGCAAAGATGATTCTCTGTAGAAGAAAATAGAGCATGATCAATTCGGAACATTTCATCCTGGAATTTGGCTTGATAGCAGTTGTTGCACTTTGAAGAGAAAAACACCGGTTAGGAGCTCCTCTAATTTTCTATTGGTTTTGTAATTATCAAATCACCGATGCTTGATCACTAAACATTCCCGCATCTGTGTCACAGTGTAATAGCGTACAGTGCTTGGAAATGGATGGTGTGAAAATAAAATAATTTCTTGAAAATCGCTGCACTAATCCTAGATTGGTAACATTCATGCGATGGAAAATCAACAGTTGTTTTGGGAGCACAACCGAACCGAACA